CCTGCCGTTACTCTGGCAACGCCCCGGGGTCGCCCGCTGGTCTGCAGACTATCATCACCACGACAACCAAGGTGAGCCGGGGTCAGCTGGGGTCAGAGAAAGATCCATCCTCCATTTTGTTAACGCCGTCCCTTTCAGCACAAGCAGGTCCGACCCAGTTAGACAGAAATACAGAACAAACCCGGTCAGACAAGGTCCGAACGAACTGATCCAGTCCGGTCCGAACGAACTGACCCAGTCCGGTCCGAACGGACTGATCCAGTCCGGTTTGAACGGACTGATCCAGTCCGGTCCGAACGGGCTGATCCAGTCCGGTTCAGTCTGACATCATTTGATGCTTATCAGTTTTTTAAGCTGAGCAGGTCCTGCGGTTTGGATCCGGTCCTCGTTTTTGGAGCAGTACTTTCTCCAGAGCATGGAAACAGTCCAGGAGAACCAGAACCAGAACCTGGCTCAGTAAGCGCACAACAGACTGGAGGTAGTTTCATGTCGAGTCCTCGTCAGGGTAGAAGGCTGCAGTGGTTCTGAGGTGGTTCCTCTGGTGGCCCGGTCCACCATGGCATCGTCAGGACTCTGTCAGTCCAGCTGTGCCATGAAGGACGGCTGAAGCCTCGTCTTAGAGGTGGAGGACGTTCCGGCACCGTCTCCTAACTGCCACTGGACTTCTTTGGTTCAGATAGTTGTGATTCTTTGATGCTTGCTCCTTCAGTTCTCTGAGGGTCACTTAACGTCCTAACGCAGGGCGTCCTGAAGCCGGTTGGACGTTTCCTAACAGCCTCAGTGTTAGCAGTAAATGGACGTCTGTTATCAGTGTACACTGAGTGTGTGGGACAGAGAAAGCTTGGTGTTTGTGGTGGCAGTGACGATGAGGGCGCATGTCTCCTTGTCCTCTCCAGGTGTCCTACCAGCCCTGTCCCAAGCCTCCGGGGGCGCTGCCTCCCTACCAGTCCTGTCCCAAACCGTCGGCTGGCCTGCCGTCCTACCAGCCCGCCAAAGCCGGCGGTCTGCCCGGCTGCTCGTCCCTGCTGGAAGACGCGTCTCCGTCCTCGTACTCCACCGAGGTCAAAGTGACCGAGGAGTCCGGCGGAGTCATCAAGTCTCTGTCGTTTCCTCCAGAACCTCTGCAGACCAAGACAGAGCGGCTGGACCCCTACGACTACCACTACGCCTACCCCAACGCCTATCGCTATGACGACTACTGACTCAGCACCGACTCTGCCGCCATGGCAACTGAAGCTGATGAACCAGACTTCAGGTTCAGGTTCTGACCCGAATCAGCAAACCTTCAGAGGACATGTCAGAGCCATCAGATGAACCTTGTTATTGTTCTGGAGACGGGTCCAATCCGTCCACAGGACCTTCGGGAGCCGGCCTCGGTCCTGTAGATGGTTCTGCGGTTCTGCTTGGGTCGGTTCTGAAGACATCAGAGCTTATAAAATGTTGTTTTCTATGAATTATCTGCTTATCGTCCCAATTCTGTCACTGATCCAAATAAGATGTCCAACAGCGACCCAGAGCGGGTTCTGACCTGGTCCTGACCACTTGGTCTGGAGCAGCTCCACCCATTAGCTGCTGACCTCTGGGTGGCGCTGCAGCACCTGCTGGGTTCCTGAACAATGGCTTGTTGTTCTGGAAGAACCCGGAAGGTTCTGGTTCCACCTGCGTGTTGCAGCCGTCATCATCATCATCATCATCATCATCATCATCATCGTCATCATCATCATCATCATCATCATCGTCATCATCATCATCATCGTCATCATCATCATCATCGTCATCATCATCATCATCATCGTCATCATCATCATCGTCATCATCATCATCATCATCATCATCATCCTGTCGTCCAGTTCTTACTGTCACAGTTTGAACATTTACTTTGAACTTTTATCTCCAAGCTAAATATAAATCTAATATTCAGCTAAACTTCATATATTTAGCCTCAAAGTAAATAGTTAGCTTGTTAAATACATATTTAGCTCCAGGCTAAATGCTTAGCTTGGAGTTAGACATGCTAGCTAAATAGTTAGCCTCAAGCTAAAAGTTTACAGCTAAACATTTCGTTTTTAGCTAAACTCCAAACTGTGACGACGTTTAAACTCTGAATATTTCATGAGATTTTTAACCTCAGTCTGTTTGATGTGAAAGTAAGTCTCTGTGGAAATGTTCTGGTCGGGCTGCCGGTCCACAGAACCAGCAGGGAACCATCTGTTGACCTGCCTGGTTCTGGCCAGGTTCTGGTTTGGTTCTGGTTGGTGAAATTGGACTCAAGAGTTCTACAGAACCAGCAGTTTTGTTCTGTTGAGCATAAAACCAACGCAGAACCAGGTGACCCAGTTGAGTTCATGAGGACCGGTTTTGGTTCTGATGGTCTGTCCCACATTTCAGCTGATGAAGAATAAAAAGGTTCTGATATTTTTGGGTCGGACGTACTTTCCTTCAGCAGAACCGGCCGGGTTTTACCAAACCTCACAGGAACATTGAGAGTTGGGTTCTGAAACGTTCCTGCTTCCTGTTCTGTGTTACCCGGCTGGCTCTGCCTGACCCATTCGGGCCCGGCGCCTCAGGTTGAGCAGCCAGCAGCGGTGATCAAAGCGGCGATGTTTGGACACGGGCCGGTTCCGGTCGGGGTGAGTAATAAATGTTGTTTTGACAGAGACGTGTGGGAACAGAACCGGCGCTGTCCTCAGACTGAACCTCTAAACCCGCCCGCTCTTCCTCCTCCTCTTCCTCAGCTCACCTCATGCGGTTCTACAGAACCAGCTGGGCCCAAAGTTCAGGAACCGGAGCGGATCGGGACCAGAAAAAAAACTTTTGGGTTTCTATCATAGGTGAACCAGAACCAGAACGAGGTTGAGATCTGGATCAACCGGTCAAAACAGAACCAACACAGAAAAGTTCTGGTTTTTATTAGTGATAAAAATGGATGGATATTGGATGATCCAGTTGATCTGGAATCAGATCTACTGCAGCCAGGAGGAGGTTATTATTATTATTATTATGATTATTATCATTATTATAGTTATTATCATCTGGTCTCTCTGCTGTTGATCTTCAGCTGCTTTATGATTCTAATAAACAAAACCAAGTTTCTCTTATTATTATATAATTATTTATTAGCTACCCTGAACATTTACCAACTTCCTGTGGATCAACAACTCACTTCCTGTCACCTTGGGAAGCTTCTTCATCTTCCTGTGTCTCCATCTTCAGCTACCTACCCTGAAGCAACTTCATCCCTCAAGCCGAAGGTCACAAGTTCAATTCCCGCTCCACTTAGAAACACCATGGGCCTTTCACTGCCTTTTTGCGACTTGGGGTCAGGAAGCTGATGTCAGCTTGGGGTCAGAGGTCTTCCACCAGGCAAATGTTCTCCCAGCGGCGGCGGCGGCAGCAGCAGCAGCAGCAGCAGCAGCGGCGGCGGCAGCAGCAGCAGCGGCGGCGGCAGCAGCAGCAGCGCGGCGGCAGCAGCAGCGGCGGCGGCAGCAGCAGCAGCAGCAGCAGCGGCGGCGGCAGCAGCAGCGGCGGCGGCAGCAGCAGCGGCGGCGGCGGCAGCAGCAGCAGCAGCAGCGGCAGCAGCGGCGGCGGCATGGCGTTCTGACTGGGCCGGTTTCTGAACGACTTCAGGAGGAATAAAACAACCAAAACGCCTTTTATGACAGTCAGAGCTGCCGATGCTGCAGCAGGAAGTGGTGCTGCAGCATCACTTCCTGCTGGAGACTCAGAGATGAAAGTCAGATCTTGATGTGATGGAATCTGAAACATTTCAGGAAAACATCTTCATGTTTACAGCAACTGAACTGAAGAGAAACAAACCGGGACATAAACAGTTCGGTCAGTCCGGCTGTCATGGCAGCAGCAGACTGCCGTGTTTCTGCTGTTGAACAGAAAATCCCGGTTTGAACCCGGATGGATTCAATCTGAGTGAAACAGCAGATGGACGGGTGGAGGGGTGGATGGGTGGAGGCAATGCGGGGCAGCCCCTATCAACACACCGCTGCTGCTAACAGAAGTCAAATCATATCAACTTCAAAGCCAATATAGGAAACCAGATAAAGCAGCAGATGGAATCAATCAAAGTCCATCAATAAGCAGGAACCTGAAGCCGCTGAACCGCAGTTCCTCACGGCGGCGTTCCTCACGGCGGCGTTCGATCCCTACGCTGCCAGCAGGGATCCTCTTGGTATCGTGAGAAGTTGTTATCACAGCAGGACGACTGGCAGAAATGTACTGTCTTCTTAAAGAAGCATGACAGCCACTCTGATGCTATCAGGCTGTTAGCATCGGGCCGATAGCATCAGGCTGTTAGCATCGGGCCGATAGCATCGGGCCGGATGAAGTTTGCAGCTCTCTGGAAAATCAGCATCTTTTTGTGATTCAAACTGTGATAAGAAGTCGGCAGCTGGAGGAGGAACTCTGTAAAGGTTCATGTGACGCCGGGCGGATCTGACTCACATCTCACCACTCTGATGTTTGAGCTTCTTATTGAGCCGCCCTGGTTTTTAGACACGTCAACCTGCTGCTCACAGCAACCTGAGTTGCTCCTGTACAGCAACCAAATTCAGGTTTGGAGCAACAAAACATCAGAGGCGTGAGGGTGGATCCTGTGGGATCCAAAGAGTTCTGTAGTTTGAATCCCATGAGGATCAACACAGACCAGCAACTACAGCAGGCAACTATTTTGGGTTGTCATTTGAGCAACATCCCTGCAGGAGGCGCCGCGACACGCGGCCTGCGAACAAACGCTCCGCGAACAAACGCTCCGCGAACCTGCTGCATCTCCGATATTTTCAGTTCCTTCAGAGGAAACACAATGTATGCTGGGAAGCGTCTCCTGACCTCTGACCTCTGCTGTTTATTGAAAGCAGCCGTTCCTGCTGCCTCAGATCTTTGTTCAGCCTCTATCTCTTCTCTTCATCCGTCCGTCCTCAGCGTCTGTTTTTATCTCCGCTTATCTTCACATCGTCACACTGTCAGAACTCGCAGGATCGTCACGTAGG